TCCCTGGGGTCCAGTGGGGCTGCTGAGCAGCTGGCGTGCAGTCCCTGGGGTCCAGTGGGGCTGCTGAGCGGCTGGCGTGCGTGCTGCCAGCAAGCAGTAATCTCCCTGCTCAGTTCACTCACGTGCCTCTTAGTAATGCCGGAGCCCCATCATATTCCGGCTCCGGCATCACTGCTGTACACGCAAGGGAGCTGAGCAGGGAAATCACTGCCCACTGCTGCCTCGTCGCCTGCGTCCATTTTGTTTTTAGAAATTTTGGGGTAACCCCATTTGTGTTCTCGCGAAACCCTAGGGTTCCGCGAAACACCAATTGGGAAATGCTGTTCTAAGCTGTAATGTAAACACTGCCTTTTCTCTGAAAGACTGTGTTTCCTGCAAAAACCTGCAGGGACGGACTATACTCACCAGAACAACTACCTTAGGCTATAGTTGCTCAGGTCACTATAGCGTCCCTTTAAAATCTGGAAGCAGCAAGGTGAATTGTTAGTGTAGGAGCTTATTTCTGTATGTTTGTAGAAGTGGATGTCTGTCTATTATTTGGGCAGCCTGTATACCAATGAAGGAGAAAGAAAATTGCATGTATCTTAAAAAGTATGTCACAAAATGTGAGTTTCTCTTTATGCTTTCATTTACAGCAAAATGTTGTTATTTAGTTTGTCTTCAGAAGAACAGGATACAAAAATCTTTTCAAAGGGGCACGCTAAGTAACCTATTCATAGGGGCACTCTAAGCACCATAACAACTACAGCCATTCCACAGTTAAGAGACAAAACATTGCCAAATCTTTACATGTGTCCCCTGGGTATCCACAGCCCAGCCTCTCTTTGCCAAAGCAGAAATCCCCCTTCAGCTTCAGAAATAGCATTGTTTTAGAACTTTGGACACTCTCAAACAATGATTTTCTTCCAAAACTGGACAGAACCAATATCTCTAATAAAAAATCAGAACTACCTCTTTTTTTGTTATTTGTGAAAAGGGACCAGACCACAGGCACCAGTGGGACCCAGCTGGATGTGAAATTGTTCACACATGGTTTAACTCTTAACAGTTGGAAAGACACCTAGAGGTTCCTGGCATCATAACCATTACAGGCAGCATGATGCAGTGGTTTTTAGGGTTTATGTATTTGATTTAAAATAATACAATCTATTGCTTCTACATAATACAGGACATCATCAAGCAGCACATAACTATTTAGGTAATTGTAGCTCATACATTCTGGCAATTAATAATTTCCTCTATGCATTGAGAGGTATAGGATTGGCCAGTTGTGTACATGTATGATTTGTCCTCAATTAGAAGCTTCTGACTGGACAACGTTCAGCACAGATATGAAATCTGTTCTGAACAAAAAGGGAAAGAGATGTATAAGAGCTGCAGATATGAGTTCATTGTTAGTGCAGGGAGGTATCATCAGCTTCAGGTAAAGCTAGGGTCATGTCTTTTGACCGCTTAAAAAAAAAAATAAGGTCTAACTGCGAGAAAAAAAGGTTACATCTCCTTTTAGTGATTTATTCCCACTAAATAGGGATGTCTGCATGACAATCTGACGCAGGCCTGTTCTGGACTGGATATAAAATAGCATACACCCAAAAAAGGAATATATATGAATGTCTAAGCTAAGGTATATGTATGATTTTCTAAGCAAACAAACAAAACACAGAATATTTAAAGGGCTATGAATTTATAATAATTTAACAAACCACTATTCTGTAGATTATCATGGTACATTAAGGCCATCAGATCTGAAGAGTTACCTGCCGAGTCCCCTGTTTTACAACATTTTTGAATTAATCTGTTAATCTAAATTTGCGGTGAGAGTTCTCTATTAACAACTATGTCAGCATGAATTAAATAAGTAACATCCCAGAGCCCTAGTTTCAGAACACTAGATTACATAATACAAATACATGAATGCAGACAATTTTAATGTGCAGTAATTAGGGTGTATTTGGGGCCTGGCTGGTTTTAGCTTTTGTGCTAGAACACAAACCTATATCTTAAAATGTGTTTTGGAGTCAGGATATGCCTAAAAATCTGGTCAAAACAAGTTCTAGGCAAATTCTAGATTTTGGAAACAGTACTGGAACTCATTGAACTAAATTATTGAAAATATTTTCATTATTTGGAATAAAGTACCACTAGAAAGATTATTCCAAACAGGAATATGGGACAAATTTGATAGGTCAGTGAGGCCTCAACCTCAATGAGTTAAAGTTTGAAAAGAAGAAATATGGATATGTATACTAAGGAGTGTTTTTACTACAGAGTTGTGGTGGAGTAACAAGTTTGACAATCACTTTCACAATTTAGACCAACATTGAACACTGAATTGTTCTGGAAAAGTTTATCCAATATTACTATTGTGTCATCTCACACAGATCCCAGATTAGTCAGGGATATTTACGAAAATGGGAATTGTCACTCACTTCTCACTTTGAATTTGCAAAGGTTCCCCAACATTTCACACTTTAGTGAATAACTCTTACTGAATAAGACTTTAAATTGCGCATAAAGGTCTCAAAACCATTGAATCATTGAGTAAATGCTAAGGGAAAGTGAGAGGGAAAGAAAGAAAGAACAAATTAAGAAATGATTAGAATTGCTAATGTTAAAATACGCAAGCTGTAAAGAGTCTCCAATTCATATAAAAACTACAATTTGCAACTTTTCTATCAGTTTTACATAGTTGTTGTCTAAACAGTTGTAAAAACTAAATAATTTGCTGCTGGCTACAAACAGCAGAAGACACAGCCCAAGATTTTTGAGAGTAACCCTACACAGAAGTGGTTTTTAATTCCCTTGGCATTTTGGTCAGTCGAATAGTGTATTGTTCTGTCTGTATTGTACCCAATACAGCTCTGCATTTTTTTAAACGTTGTATGCTTATTAAAATCAATGTGACCATCATGACCGCAGCAATCCTACATATTGACCGGACCACTGCCTTTGTACTGTTAGAGGACATGACATGGTTAGATGTTACTGCCTATGAGCTTCTGTAAGCTCTCCTGAGCTAAGTCCTAGTACAGCTAGTTCATTGACTGAGAGCATCAGCTGATTGCTTCTAAAACAGTTTGTCCATGTACAGCAGCCTTGGTAACGTTAACGCAAAGTATCCTTTCTGTATATTATTTAATGTGTTATTTACATAATGCATTAAAATTAAGATCACTTCTAGCCATGAGTGTTTCTTTAAAGAGAGAAGTGTATCCGCGAGAATTAATACATCACATCTAAAAATATCATGTCACCTAAATTTCACGTGTTAAATCCCTGATAATTTTCACTTTAATGAATTACTCTGCAATAATGCAATAACAAGCTCTGTTTGTGGGATGTGAATCATGTGGCCATCTTTCACATTTAGTGCATCAGATGAATTAAATGACCTGCCCGGCTGCGTTATACATCTGTTACACAGATTAGCAAGTTATATATTTAATTTAAATTGTATTGTTGGTTTGTCTCCATTATGAAGTGGACTGATAATTCTGAATGCCAGTTAAACTGTATTTAGTATATGAATCAAGGACATTGTGTTGCATGTAGATTACGGAGGAATTTTGTGTTAGACAGTACTGTATAACTCTTGATTAGAGCTGAGTAACATCCCAAGTATAATTCATAACCCTTTGTGCTACTCCCTTCCTTGGCACTGAGATGGTTAATCCAAGACAGACTGACCATTATAGTAGTTGCAGTAAAATCTTAGCAGGATACCACTAAAAGATCTAACAGATTCAGCAATGAGCTGCATCACCCACTGGCCAGTAGTGGTATTTATTTGAAATTTATTTATATTGGAAGATCGGCTACAGTAGCAGAATGTTAAATGCCCGGACTGAAGATTGTGGGCCAATCACATTGAAATTAGAACATGGTACATTTATCAAAGGACTGCGAAGAGATTCTAAAATCCTTGTACATAAAGCAGAGCAGTCATTTGTATTTTTCAATTTGCATGATCCGTTTTTCAAATGATTGTAAAATGCTTTTTACCATTCCTATGTAAGCTGATCGTTGGCCAATGTCAAGCACCACAAAAGTAACATGTAGTAAACTTAAATAGAAAACAGAGGAACAGAGTAATTAACATTCTATTATTGATACTTATTACTTTCAGGAAGACACGTCCATAAGGTGTAGTAATCCCACATTTAAAAACCAGTAACTTGAAAATGAGACAATTAAAAAAAAAAAAAGAAAAGCATTTTTGTAGGAAAGGTTACGGGGAAAAATGTTTTGCTCTTTGTTAAAAGTGATACCCAATTACAGTCAAATAGCTTTACCATGCACACCTCAGTGAATGTCAAGAAAGGGTAAACGCTATGATACATACTAATCAGCCTAGCGCTGGTAATTATGGGAGCTGAAGACTTGCTCTCCAGCTGTTTGTACTAAAGTTAGCAATTATTTAATAATCTATGGCTGCCGAAGACTGAGATACGAGCTGGATCGCTTTCTCCTTGCCTCTCCCACTTTAGATTGTAATGATTAGTGTTTTGCAAGTTGTCAGAATAAAAAAACCAATATACCTTCACAAGGTCAACACTATACAGTCCATTGTTGCTTCATAAATACACTATATTAATATTTCTATTACACTTACATATAGATATTTGTATATTATACAGGTAGGCTGCTTATGCGCTGCAGCTGGTAGAGCATCATGGGATATGTAGTCAGCAGCATCTAGGATGGCACAGACAGTCTCCCGTACTATATGGCATTAATGAAGAAGATGGAAAAATCCTTTTAATGGCTTTTAGTTCCAAAGAAGAGTGCTGATGACAAGATGCATGTATAAATAATGTTGGGCCTAATAAATAATTTCACCACTCCCACTTCTTATCCATATTTATGAAAAGCATTAGCAGTCACTGGTTATTAACCTATGTTTTGATTTTTCTTTTCCTGACAGATCTGTGACACACAGCCACATCTGCAAATTCAGATCCACGTAGCCATGCTTCCTCTCTCCCAACCCTTGTACCAGAGTGATATCAGGAGCTCTGGTACAGAGGATGGCTGAAAGGAAGCAATGGACAGACCAACCGGTCCGTCTTGGAAGATGCTGCTGTTTTCAGGAATCCACGGAACTACTCACTAAACAAGTGGGTGTTGGTGATATCTGCCTTGGAAAATCTGAGCCAAAGGAACAGAGTTGGAGAAAATGTTTAATTTGGCCAAGTTATGTATTTTTATAACTTTTTCAGTATTGTTGTCATTTAATCACAATTTCCTGTTCTTTACATAGACAAATGTATTATTCAGTTGAAACAAGGGCTTGGAAAAAATGTGTCTTCTGGCTTGTGCCAAACTACATTTCCCATTTTGCTCATCCCTAATGTGTTAGAGTTAGAACGAAGTACCAGCTTCAGCAAAACATCAAAAAGGGCCTTTTCATGGATTCACATTCAGCCCTGCTTGATTCCATCTCAAATGCAAGGGTGCTCATAAAGAGCCTCATTTCTAGCAGACCTACAGACCTTAAAGGACCACTATAGGCACCCAGACCACTTCAGCTCAATGAAGTGGTCTGGGTGCCAGGTCCATCTAGGGTTAACCCTGCAGCTGTAAACATAGCAGTTTCAGAGAAACTGCTATGTTTACAATAGGGTTACTAGCAGGGGTCAAGTCCTGGGGAAAAAAGTGTGGGAACTCACCCAAGATTCCTGCCCCCCCCCCAAAAAAAAATCATTTACACTCCTATGCATATAGTGCAGTGCAGGGTGTGTATAATGATGTAGTGTGTTTGTAGTGAATGCAGAGTGTGTATAATGAATGTAGTGTGTTTGTAGTGAGTGCAGAGTGTGTACACTGAATGCAGTGTATGTAGTGTGTTTGTAGTGAATGCAGAGTGTGTATAGTGAATGTAGTGTGTAGTGAGTGCAGAATGTGCATAATAAATGCAGAGTGTGTATAGTGAATGCAGAGGGTGTATAGTGAATATAGTGTGTATGTAGTGAGTGAAGAGTGTGTATAATGAATGCAGTGTGTGCGTGTGCGCGCTGGATGATGTGTGTGCGAGTGCTGGATGATGTGTGTGCGAGTGCTGGATGATGTGTGTGTGTGTGTGTGTGCTGGATGATGTGTGTGCTGGATGAGTGTGTGTGTGTGTGTGTGTGTGTGCTGGATGTGTGTGTGTGTGTGTTGGATGTGTGTGTGTGTGTGTGTGTGTGTGTGTGCTGGATGATGTGTGTGCTGGATGATGTGTGTGTGTGATGTGTGTGTGCTGGATGATGTGTGTGTGTGTGTGTTGGATGTGTGTGTGGTGATGTGTGTGTGCTGGATGTGTGTGTGTGTGTGTGTGCTGGATGATGTGTGTGTGTGTGTGCTGGATGATGTGTGTGTGTGTGCTGGATGATGTGTGTGAGTGCTGGATGATGTGTGTGTGTGCTGGATGATGTGTGTGAGTGCTGGATGATGGGTGTGTGAGTGCTGGATGATGTGTGTGAGGTGCTGGATGATGGGTGTGTGTGTGTGCTGGATGATGGGTGTGTAAGTGCTGGATGGGTGTGTGAGTGCTGGATGATGTGTGTGTGTGTGCTGGATGATGGTGTGTGAGTGCTGGATGATGGGTGTGTGGTGCTGGATGATGTGTGTGTGTGTGCTGGATGATGGGTGTGTGTGTGAGTGCTGGATGATGGGTGTGTGAGTGCTGGATGATGGGTGTGGTGCTGGGATGATGTGTGTGTGTGTGCTGGATGATGGGTGTGTGTGTGTGCTGGATGATGGGTGTGTGGGTGCTGGATGATGGGTGTGTGAGTGCTGGATGATGTGTGTGTGTGTGTGCTGGATGATGGGTGTGTGTGTGTGCTGGATGATGTGTGTGTGTGTGCTGGATGATGGGTGTGTGAGTGAGTGCTGGATGATGTGGGGGGGGTAAGCATTTTCTTACTTTATGTGTCTATATTTTTTTTTTATTTTATTCCCCCCTCCCTGCTTCTTACCTTGTCAGGGAGGGGGGAGATCGCCTGGTGGTATGCTGGAGGGAGCCAGCCGCTGCACAGAGGGGCCATCACACGCTGTGTTCCCTCTCCAGCTCTAACTCTCGCGAGACTCGCCTGTGCGGAGCGTTGCCATGGTAACAGCCGCGGGTCTCGCGAGAGTTATAGGTGGAGAGGGAACACAGCGTGTGCTGGCCCCTCTGTGCAGGTAGCAGGGCCGGTCCTGCAGGACAGGTAACGGGAACGGCGTTCCTGCTATGGAAAAAGGGCAGGAACGCCGCTCCCATGCGTTCCTGCAGGACTCGAGCCCTGGTTACTAGAGCCTCTAGTGGCTGTCTCATTGACAGCCGCTAGAGGGCTTCCACGCTTCTCACTGAAAATCACAGTTAATCCAAGACAGACTGACCATCGAAAGAGGGAGGAGAGTTCCCCAGCGCCAAGAAAGGTAATAGTTTAACCCCTTCCTCCCCCTTGAGCCCGGCGAGAGAGGGACCCTGACGGGTGCCTAAAGACCCTATAGTGCCAGGAAAATTAGTTTATTTTCCTGGCACTATAGTGGTCCTTTAATGCTTTTTTAGCCTAAAGAACAGAGGGGTGAGTGAGATAGAGCAAAGGTTACTAAATGGCTGACGAGAGATGTAGTCTTACAAGGGCTTGATAGGCCACCATTTGCCCACCCTAGCTTTAAATGGTTACTCTAAACATCATAATCACAATCACTACTGTCCCCATTAACTCCATTAAGTAATGGGGCAAACTGTTTTGTAACAGGCCCCACTGGCTCCCAGGATGGAGGCCGAGCAGCATCCAGCTTCTACAGGGCAGCAGAAGCTGATCCTGCTATTCATTTACTGACTGAGAGCGTCAGATAAGTGATCTCAGTCAGTGAACTAGCGATTGTGTACAGAAATATGCGCAGAATGGACATTAGCCAGCCCTCCAACAGGTAGCGCAAATATATCCTGAAAACATGCATATGTCTTCAGTATTATTTATATACTCCTTGCACCATGATCATTTCTAAACACTGAAGTAGTTGTTGTGCTTCAAGAGAACCTTTAACTTAATACCCATTTTTATTTTAAATAGACCCAGATATAAAGATAGAGAAACAGTAACTATAGATGAGTTGAAACGTTTTTGCTACAATCCATCTTTTCAAGTGAATATGACATACATGTATTGTTATTTTGCACTACAATATTAAAACGTTGCACCCTGAGTTTCATGCAGTATGTAGATAATGCATTTGTGACTTATACAATTAAATAAAATTATTAAAGGTCCTGAGGTTGAGCAGAAGGCTCTAGTGAATCTAGGCCATTTATTGTCACTGTGTTGAAGTCACTTGAAACCTCATCCTCCTTTATAAAACACAAAACCTGTGCCAAGATTGCACTAGAATTAGGAATTAGCATTGCCATCTTTCTTTCCTTTTCCTTGTTTGCAGAGGAACAAACATGGTACACATTGGATGTAGTTAGGGCTCCTTATAGCGCATACCAGACACAGTTTTCTATTGTTCTGGAAGGATTACAGGCTTATTACATACAAGTGTTCTGTGCATGAAGAGCTCCTGTGGATAACACGTCACCAAACACTATCTTCAGAGCTAGCACTTGGACCTAGTTACATTTATTTAAACAACATTATTAACTTTAGTATTCCACATTACGATTAGTCAGGAAAAGAGGAAATCTATTCATACTTAACGTAACTTTTTTTTTCCTGGCAATTTTCCATGGAAGAATGTAGTTTACCTACTCTTTTTTCCAGTGATTGTCTTCGTAGCTTGGTGACGAGACTGGTGATCACGTGATCAGAATTCCTTCTACGTTTAGTTTGTTTTCCTGTTCTAACGCCTGTAATTGGACAAATGAAATCATTAGTAAATACTGCCATAGATTATAGCACGGAATATAAAATTAGAGTAAGTATGAATATATTTTCTTATCAGTTTCTCAATTTCGGTAGAAATATATGCTGATCAAGTTGTTTAACGCTAAAGAGAATGCTCTGTAAATTGGAATATAATAAAAACAGAATACAATGAATTCAAAAAACAGTGTTTGCATTTTTCTGTTAGCAGAATAACTGTGCCCCCTGCTGACTACAGATAGTACAGCCATTGTGTAACCACAGCCGGTTCCCCTATTTACCACTATAACGTCTTAAAGCATAGACAATAGCTTTCTGACTATTTTGTTGATTTTTGTCCTTAAGATCTTATGCATGTACAGGTGGAAAAAACTGAAATTATCTTATAGTATTCCCAAAAGAAGACATGCGTAGCTTATCTCATTAGTATGAGCTCCCTGCTTGTATCTTTTTTTCCCATTTAATAAAAGGTGAGCAGCTAACATTTAGTCACAGTGGATGTGTATTTCTATTAACCAAATACAAAAAAATATATATATTTTAATTTTAAAAACTAAAATGTACTTACCAAATATATAATCAAATGTCTAATTTAAGCACCATTACCACTTCAGTGATTTGAAGTGATCATGGTGCCTGGAGTCTGTATGTTCAGCATTTCACAATGAATGCAGCAAATACAAGATTTAACCTGACTGATGACGGAGGTGTAACGCAACGTCTGACAGCGTCACTTGCGTGTTATTAGCCCACTTGAAAGTAGAGTTTCCGTAACCCCCAGTAAGGAGTCAAAGGATTTTTTAATGGTTTGATTTCTTACCTGGAGTCTGCACGGCAGCGCTGCCCTTCTTCACTACCATCGTTGTAAATTCATAAGAGTAAACTTACATAGTTACATAGTTACATAGTTACATAGCTGAAAAGAGACTTGCGTCCATCAAGTTCAGCCTTCCTCACATTTGTTTTTTGCTGTTGATCCAAAAGAAGGCAAAAAAACCCAGTTTGAAGCACAATTTTGCAACAAGCTAGGAAAAAAATTCCTTCTTGACCCCAGAATGGCAGTCAGATTTATCCTTGGATCAAGCAGTTATTACCCTAGATTATATCCTTGAATATTTTGTTCTTGCAAGTATGCATCTAGTAGCCGTTTGAACATCTGTATGGACTCTGATAAAACCACTTCCTCAGGCAGAGAATTCCACATCCTGATTGTTCTTACAGTAAAAAAACCTTTCCTTTGCCTTAGACGAAATCTTCTTTCTTCCAGTCTAAACGCATGGCCTCGTGTCCTATGTAAAGTCCGGTTTGTGAATAGATTTCCACACAATGGTTTGTATTGGCCCCGAATATATTTGTATAATGTTATCATATCCCCTCTCAGGCGACGTTTTTCTAAACTAAATAGGTTTAAATTTGTTAACCATTCTTCATAGCTGATATGTTCCATTCCTTTTATTAATTTTGTAGCCCGCCTCTGCACTTTTTCTAGTGCCATAATATCCTTCTTTAGAACAGGTGCCCAAAATTGCACAGCATATTCAATATGGGGTCTTACCAGTGATTTATAAAGAGGCAAAATTATATTCTCGTCCCGAGAATGAATGCCCTTTTTCATGCATGACAATACCTTACTGGCCTTGGCCACTGCTGATTGACATTGCACATTGTTGCATAGTTTGTTGTCTATAACAATTCCCAAGTCCTTTTCATGTGTTGTTATCCCTAATTCGCTTCCATTAAGGGTATACGTTGCTTGTGTATTCTTTACGCCGAAGTGCATAACTTTGCATTTTTCAACATTAAATTTCATCTGCCATTTGAGTGCCCAGTCCCCCAGTCTATCTAAATCCCTCTGCAGCAAAGTAATATCTTGCTCACATTGTATTGTTTTACAAAGTTTGGTGTCATCTGCAAACACTGAAACATGACTTTCAATGCGGTCTTCAAGATCATTTATAAACATGTTAAATAGAAGGGGTCCCAGAACAGACCCCTGAGGGACACCACTTGCCACCTCTGTCCAGCTTGAAAATTTACCATTAATGACAACTCTTTGTACTCTGTTTTTAAGCCAATGTTCTACCCAAGAACAAGCATTTTCATCTAGACCGATTTCCTTGAATTTGAACACTAATCTATTGTGTGGAACTGTATCAAATGCCTTGGCAAAATCCAAAAAGATCACATCCACGGCAACACCCTGATCTATACTTCTACTTACTTCTTCGAGCTCTGGAGCTAACCCCTGTAATGCATGGATTAGTACACTGGCTAAAAGTGAGACGCTGACACTAATTGCAGGGCTCAGCTCAAGGAAGCTATAGTTAAGTCCCTGCTTAGGAACTTTCGGCTTTACAGCATTGGTAATGGAGATTGGGAGCAAACCCCAGCCGACCACCGCTAACAAGTCTAATTTCATGTACATAACAAGCTGAAGTGGCTATGGTTCTTGGAGTGTTCCTTTAATTTGGAAAAGGCTGAATTTACTATATCAAACTATTTTCTTAGGTTTTCATAAATTTTTTATCATTTATCATAAAATTTCAAAGTGACTAACTCACTTTAATATTGGCAAAGCAATAAGTGAGTTATAGTTCTACAAGAGCTGGTTGTCTACCTTTTGGCCACTCCATCATGGATCCAAGGTTTGAAAGGTGTGTTTTTGATATCTGTCACAGAACTCTATGGCTCCACAATCCTTTCTGCTGTACTCATCTCCACCTAATCTCTAATCCACCTTCCCTGGAATCCAGCAGCACCCAGCAGGTTATTTATATATTGGGGGAAAGAAAGAGAACACTTTAACTAGACTAGAGACCTATAATAAAAATATATATCATGCTCAACAACAATTACATTTGCTTATCAGTTTTTTCCCCCCATGTTTTATCAATTGTATTAAAGGCCACTCTATCCACAATTATAACCTGTTTGACACATACTTGGGTTCCCCAGGCTTCTGCAGTCTGGTCCTTCTCTACAGATATTGCTAAAGTGGAATTTCCCATTTTGATTACATATATCAATTTTATCCCTGGTGGGACTTAATTCCATTGCTGCAAATGTCAGCTGGAACTCCTCACGTGTGCACAGATGTGACTGGAGCTTGTCTTTAAGGTGAGGAGAGAGGTGTTCATCTTAGTTGCTCCACACAAAAGTTGTTCTAATCAAATATTAGTTTGCCAGGCATAGAAACTCAACATCCAGTAATAAAACAAAAAATTGAAATAAAGGCACTCAAAATCCAGATGATGTTTAATCGGCTCAAAATAAAAAGTAACAAACAGGGGGAAAGGTCACACCAAACACCCAACGTATTTCAGGCCTTCAGTTTCTTAGACATAGGGTCTAATGCGCTTCAGAACTACAGGTCCTTAGACAGGTCCAAAACGCCTAAAGCGTTTTGGACCTACAGGTCCTTAGATCCGAGCACCTAACATGTGTTGGACCTACAGGTCCATAAACCCTATGTCTAAGGACCTGCATGCTCGAAACTCGTTTCGTGAAGCATAAACCTCCTGTTGAGCACTTGCAGTGGTGTGATTTCTATTTCTTGGTATAGAAATGCCCAATGCCGCTGGCAAGTATGTAATTTGTCCCTAAGGACCAGTGTCTGATATTTAGACCTTATGAAATATTACTATTTTGTGCTTATAACTCTAAGTTCACATTTTTAACCTTAATATACTCTTTGAACCCTTTACTTACAATCAATGATTAATGCAACTTCCTTAGACAAGAAATACAATATTATCCCCTGCAAAAACAGGGCCTGGCATATTGTATAGTCTTAACAACAGGGCGTGGCACATGGTAGAGACCAAACAACAGGGCCTGGCACATGGTATAGACGCAACAACAGGGCCTGGAACAGGGTATAGACCCAACAACAGGGCCTGGCACATGGTATAGACTCAACAACATGGCCTGACACATGGTATAGACGCAACAACAGGACCTAGCACATGGTATAGACCGAACAACAGGGCCTTGCACATGGTATAGACCCAACAACAGGGCCTTGCACATGGTATAGACCCAACAACAGGGCCTTGCACAAGGTATAGACCCAACAACAGGGCCTGACACATGGTATAGACACAACAACAGGGCTTGATACATGGTATAGACACAACAACAGGGTATAGACCCAACACCAGGGCTTTGCACATGGTATAGACCCAACAACAGGACCTGACACAGGGTATAGACCCAACAACAGGGCCTGGCACATGGTATAGACCGAAGAACAGGGCCTGACACAGGGTATAGACACAACAACAGGGCCACGCACATGGTATAAACCCAACAACAGGCCCTGGCACATGGTATAGAGCCAACAACAGGACCTAGCACATGGTATAGACACAACAACAGGGCCTGACACATGGTATAGACCCAACAACAGGGTATAAACCCAACATCAGGGCATTGCACATGATATAGACTCAACAACAGGGCCTGACACAGGGTATAGACACAACAACAGGACCTAGCACATGGTATAGACACAACAACAGGGCCTGACACATGGTATAGACCCAACAACAGGGCTTGACACAGGGTATAGAACCAACAACATAGCCTTGCACATGGTATAGACCCAAAAACAGGGCATGACACAGGGTATAGACCCAACAACAGGGCCTAACACATGGTATAGACCCAACAACAGGGCCTTGCACATGGTATAGACCCAACAACAGGGCCTGACACATGGTATAGACACAACAACAGGGCCTGAATTAGGGTATAGACCCAACACCAGGGCTTTGCACATGGTATAGACCCAACAACAGGGCCTTACACAGGGTATAGACCCAACAACAGGGACTGGCACATGGTATAGACCGAAGAACAGGGCCTGACACAGGGTATAGACCCAACAACAGAGCCACGCACATGGTATAAACCCAACAACAGGCCCTGGCACATGGTATAGACCCAACAACAGGGTACAGACTGAACAACAGGGCCTGACACAGTGTATTGACCCAACAACAGGGTATAAACTAAACATCAGGGCCTTGCACATGCTATAGACTCAACAACAGGGCCTGACACAGGGTATAGACACAACAACAGGACCTAGCACATGATATAGACACAACAACAGCGTCTGACATGTGGTATAGACCCAAAAACAGGGCCTGACACAGGGTAAAGACCCAACAACAGGGCTGGGCACATAGTATAGACCCAACAA